GCAGGCACAGCCCAGTTGCTTCACCTACATTTTGGGGTTTAGCAAGTTTCTTCCCCGTTTTGTCAGGGTTGTGTTGCTGTGGTGTGGCCCCAGCCCAAGGCACGTGGCCGTGGCCGGCAGGGGGGACAGGCAGAAGGCAGGAGCTGCACCCCAAACCGGGGGCAGAGCGAAGGGCTGGTCCTGCCCGGGTCTCACGCTCTCACTGCCAAGCCTGAAGATATGCCTAATCTTCTAAACCTTCTGGAGAGAGGGGAGAGCTGAAGATTTAGCCTGGTTCCATTAATGAAAGAATGATGATAATGAGGGAATTAAAGTACAGGCCCTGGTGCGAGGGAGGAGGGACTATGCTGAACAGGCTCGTCGTCAACTTCTCCTGCCTGGTGGAAGCACGTGGTCCAGCTTCTTAACAGATGCAGCCCCAAATCCTTGTGTTTGTTCTGCTTAAATTAGCACTCCTGATGATTATTTTGGAAGAAATATCCATGTTATGGCTGAGTTCAGTAGGGCTCGGTTTTAGGGGTGTGGGTTGCAGTCCACCAGCGGTCCCGTGTCTAGAGCTTTGTGTAAGCACTTCCCGCAGTCGGGGCCGCGGTTTGGCGTGCTTTTGGCAGCCTGCGAACACCCCCCGCTGCACCCCCGCCCTCCCGCTGCACACCCGCACCCGGGAAGGTGACAGCACGATTGCGGCTTCTCTGAAGATGAGCCTGAAATGACACTGTAGATGGTGCGGTAATGGCCCTTGAAACACACTCATCATTGAACGGCGGCCCCTTCCCCCACAGCACTTCATAAAAGCTGCTGCAGGAGTGACAGCAGGTAAATTGTCGGCAGGGAGACTGTTGTGATGTTCAGACGATATCGAATCCATCCACATTGTCTGAGCAGAAATTATACGGAGAGTCTGAGGATTCAGGGTGAGAGTGGCCATAAATCTTGGGTGCGTCTCGGCAGGGTAGGAAGAATATGAAGCATCAGGCCCATTCTCAGATGCTTCTGCCATGCAGTAACTGTGCTAATTAATTTAGCACGGGACAGTAAAGCCTTTTGTCTTGCTTTGGGCCAAATGAGCCAAATGCCTTCTCACAGACAAGGCTCACGGATGAGGAGTCCTTAACAACTGTCCTCTGTCTTCACCCCTTGGCACCTGACGGCAGATGGACATGGGAGACTTGGTGCCGGCCCCGGCAGTGCCGCTCGCCGCTGCGGTTCCTGTGGGAGCCGGGTGCCCGCTCCCGCGGCAGCGCCGCCCCTTCTTCCCTCTGGAATTTA